AAAAATAATCAACACTTTTCGAATACCCTTCAAAGAGCAACTTCTTTTTCTAACCATGATTTATCATTAAATATTTGTAACACTTCGCAGAACCCACGGGTCCAATAGTGGTTGTAGATGAATTGCATTTGCTCTTGAGATTCGATGCTTTCACAGCACAATAAATATTAATATTTATCTAACTATTTTTTATTGTCAAAAAATATTTGTAACACTTCACTTTAAGATTATTGATTTGGTGAGACTTGATTTGTAGGACCTCAATCCCATCCGGTTCATTGAGGTCCGTATAGGACTGCAAAAATAATTAGGTTTCAAACTAATTTTTTTTTTATAAGAATAATGATTAATAAATTAGTATTGTCAGATGTTAATAATTGAAGATTCAATTCTCAGATCTGGTGAACAACCCACCGACTTCAATGAGGTGCGCGGCCATCGGGCCGCTTGGTGGAGTTCAAGCTTCAAACCAATTGAGACTGTGGATTTGAACCTTAGAATTATCATTTTCTAAGGTTAAAACTTAAATTTAAAATCATATGGACTTATTAAAGACATTATTATTATGCACATGCATATTTGATGAACATATGATTATATACAACTGTCTTTCTCAAGAGGTACAGACAAAAATATGAGGTTTTGATATGTATGTCCTAGTTTCAGACGTGCACCAGCTGTATTTATTGACTGATTTAATTTTACAATAATATAAATACAATTAATTAAAATTTAATGTAAAATTATAAATTTATAATTATGATATATTATTAAATAAATATATATAATATTATAAATAAATTTTTAAATAAAAAATTAATTATATAATAATATATTATAATTATAAACATATAATTTTATGTAATATTATAATTATAACACTGTTATTATTTATCACTAAATATTTGTAACTCTTCAATTGGAGGATAATTGGAGGATTATTGATTTGTTGAGAATTAATTTGAAAGACCTGAATCCCATTTAGTTCATGGAGGTATGCATGGGACGGCAAAAATAATTCGAATTTAAACCAAACGGGATTGTTCATCTGTACCTTCGGATTATCAATGCTAAGACCTGAATATTAAAATAAAACCTCTTTGACTTATGAAGGGCCGAAAAGTTGTCACTATCATGCATGTGCATATTTGAATTGGATATTATACAAATATTATCATCAACGTATTATAATTATAATATTATATAATATTATATTTTTAATTATAATATATTACTAAATAATCAACGCTTTTC